TCATCAGTAACTACTGTAATGGGCTCAGGGAAGTAAGTGTTGTTACCGCTGTAGAAAATCTCTATGTAATGATTATGTACTCCAGGTACCATCTAAAGTAATTTACACCCATTGACACACATAATCCTTGTGACAGCACTATAAAGAATATTCTTTTTCAGAAGCAGAAACTAAGAGTTCAATTACCATCTTTCAAATATGTGGGCCAGGATTCACACCCAGGAGGACTGGCTCCAGATCCTTTTAGTACATTTACTGCCCTCCTAGCCCAGGTAAGAAGCCTCAATTTATCACCAATTTGAGGGAAATCTTTCCAATCTACAAACACATCTACTTTGGTCACTCATCTGAAGGAGCCTGACATCTCTGGAATAAATTTTCTAAAGGCTTCAAAGCATCCCAGGGGAACAAGAAACAATACAACAACAAAAATACTTGTAAGAAGTTTTATAGTGGGCACTGGTGGCTCATGCCTGTAATCCTAGCTATTCAGGAGGCAGAGATCAGGAGGATCGCAGTTCAAAGCCAGCCCATGCAAAGAGATCACGAAACACTATCTCAAAAAACCTCATCATGAAAGGCTGGTGCAGTGGCTCAACGTGTACGCCCTGAGTTCAAACCCCCGTATTGAAAAAAAGAAAAAATTTTGCTGTAACTTATATGTGTTCCTGGTTTAGTTCTTCCAGATTTCCAGGCTCTCAAAAGGCAAGACCCCAAATTTTGCAGAAAATGGGCACCAAATTCTATGAATGAGTGAGTGAGTGAATGAGTGAATGAGTAAGTGAATCTTACTCTCAAAGAATATGGAAAGAGTTCTGGGATCTAATTCCACAGATGCTATGTCATAGCTTTTTCATGGCAATGACAGCAACACGTAATTTTCTTATTGGCAATAAGAAAATGGAAAATCCTATTTTTTTTTCTAGTTCCAATATAAAATGGCTTTGACTCAACATTCACCCTGGTATCAACCCAGAACAGTATTAATTCTATTTTAATCCTAATTTTTATCATATCTACTCATATACTAATCTTATTCTCTCCTCAACCTCTTTATTAGACTATATCCTAATCTTAATATAGGGCCCTCATTTTATATTTAATAATCCTAACTGAAGCCTACAAGTAATGCTAACCATAACCCTACTCTCAAGCCTCTTATGTAATACCTTTTTCTCATGACCACCTCCATCCTTTTTCTCTCACTGGGGCATAGAAACCTTATTTTAGCAGCTTTCTATGGCTAGAGGTCCTAATGTTTGGGAATAATAACATTGTCTCTAGATGACTGTAAGGGAAATACCACAGAGAATTAAGTGAAGCAGTTTAAAAGAATCTGTTTCAGTGAAACCTGCTTTGTTGAGTAAATGGCTGAACACAAGACTTTAGAACTAACATCTCTTATTCCAACCGCATTCATTCTCCATGTGGGCAGTTATCTATTGGATACTCTAGAAGAAAAATCCAACATGAGCTTACTCAGTCACAACCCTCAATGTGTCCAAGGAAAGTAGGAATAGTTAAAACATATTTCCAGCCTAGGTAATTGCTATAACACTGAGTAGGATGCTAATAGGGAGTCAAAGGAGTGAGTGCTTAGGATTGGAAAGTGATCAGTTTTCCTAGAGCTATAAACTATGACAAAAGTAACAAAATTAATCTGAAGTATTTGCTGGTCTGCTTTCGGGAAATGGCTAAAGGCAGGACTATGCTTGCTGCACATTAAGATAGGTCAGACTGGGGCTGGTAGAGTGGCTCAAGAAGTAGAGTGCCTGCCTTGCAAGCATGAGGCCCTGAGTTCAAACCCCAGTACCACCAAAAAAAAAAAAAATAGGGCATTGTAGGGGAAGTAGTTACACCAAGGAGCTAAAGATTATGTAGGATTATGTATGGATTACTGAATCTACCTCAATTATAATAAAAGGGTGATCCCTTACAGATGTTTGAGTTCTGCAATATTTAATTCTTATGAGAATGGGCACTTACCTATCTACCTAGTAACACCTGAGTGGGAGAAAGGGCATTATTCAACATCAGGGTTTTGGTTGCGTATGCAAGTCTGGTCACCAGCACTTGCTGGGGCTGGAGGCATGGCTCAACTGGTAGAGTGCCTTCCTAGCGAGCACAACACCCTAAGTTCAAACCCCATTACCATAAAAAAAAAATGAAGAGTTGCTGAGTTAGTAATACACTGACACAAAGTGCTCAGCTCTTGTGTTTCTCTTCAGCCCCAAGCATAGCCAGCCTTCCATATTTCCCTGTGCAAAATTAATCACTACCCTTTGAAGCATACCAAAATTGTCACCCTAAAATATACTTCTTTAACATAAGGATTACTTTGAGCTAAAGGTCATTGGGAACCAACACACCTGGGAAGTCTCTCAAAAGAGAGCAAGTTTTCCTTTTTTTAAAGGAAATTTACATTTATTAAAGCATAATTTTTACCAGAGACGAAGGCACCAGTTTAAATCTGAATAATTACTAACAAACCTTGATTTACCTTCCCATAACTTGTCTCCTCTCCACCCACCCCCCAGAAATGTCAAACCCCTTCTCCTCTGTGTATAAAGCCCAATTCCTAACTACCCTTTGGGTAATCGTCACTAGGTAGTCCCATGTGCACATTAAACTTCCATTTGTTTTTCTCTTGTTAATTTTTTACCTGTCTAGTTTATATGACCTTCACTAGAGAACCTAAGATAAGTTGAGGAAAAAAAATTGGTTTTCCTCTTCTACACCCCTCCACACACTCCAGAAGATGCACATGAATGTTGCCTGAGGGTCACTTCCACACTCATCTATCTCCCTCACTTTGCGGCATGGAGGTGCCTACCAGCATCTGGCCCACATAGGCCCCTGACCCTGTTCTGCTGGTGCTGAGGCTCATCTTCCCTGAGTCTCTAGTGTGTCCTTTCTTACTTCAGGGCCAGAAAGTGGATGCCACGTTGGTTGTTAGGTATTTTCAGTGTCACTCCTGTTTGAAGGGTCACTGTCAAGTGACTTGAAGCCTGTCTCATACTGCTCTTGGATTAAAGGCCAGTGAAGGGCAAAGTAAAGAATTCCCTGCTCCAAAAGCCTAAGTGAATAAGCAAAAGGTTACCTGTCTTGGATGGTTGGACCATCTTCAATACTGCAGGCAAGTGTAAGATGACAGCTGGCCCTGGCACTTCCAGGAATCAAAGGCCTGGTAAGAGGCCGAGTTCCAGCACACAGATAAAACTAGGATGATTGATTTGGGAGAGGAGACAAGTAACATGGAGAGGTATACTAAACGTTGATCCTGGAGTTGGAAGATCAGCCTCAGTGGATCATTTTTCCAAATGAGACTACAGCTATATAGTTACAACATTCCACATGCATTTTTTTTTATAGCATGACAGTCTGTGTTTCCACCCCAGGAATCTGGCACAATGGGATATGGCAGAAGTGATGCTATGTGACTTCCAAGACTTTGACAGAAAAAAAACATGTCTAGCTGGCTCTCTCCTCCATCTCTCTGTCAGGACACTTGCCTTTGGAACACAATCACCACATCATAAAGAATTCCAGGCCACATGGAAAAGCCTGAGTAGGGGTTCCTGCCCACATCCCAGCTGGTGTCAGCTGGACCAACACCCACCTTTAGAGTAAAAGAGCCTTCCCATGACTCCAGGCCCCAGCTTCAAACCTTCCAGCTGTTGTAGAGTAGGAGTAAGCTCCCCCACAGTAGCCCTTCTGAATTCCTGACCCACAGAAACCATGAGAGATAATAAGTTATCATTGTTGTTTAAGCTATTTTAGGGTGAATAGTTTACACAGCAATCAACCATAAGGCATGGAGTTTGAATGCTGACTCTAGTTCTTATTAGTTGGGGACCTTGGACAGGACTCTTCTTGAAAAGAAATCTCCTTGCCAGAAAATAAGCAGACAACCCTCACTCCCCTGAAAGTTGTCCTGAGCATCAGAGCTAGTAACTGTGAGATGCTCAACTCTCCTGGTTGCTTGTAGACATCTCTGGTTGTTTGTTTATTTGGCAGTACTGGGTCTTGAACTCTGGCCTTGTGCTTGCTAGCAAGTGCTTTACCACCTGAGCCATGCCCCCAGCTCACCTCTCCTTTCTTTTGTTTACCTGCATGGGTCATTGTCCCATCTTGAGAATGAATGTCCCATGGAAGCTATCTTGCTCACTGTTCTGTCCCAGTGCCTGGAAGTGTGCCTGCCACAGCCACTTGCCCAACCAATGGATCTGGGCATGGCTGTCCACTCCCGTAATCCCAGCATTCATGAGATGCTATGCTTCTAAGCCTGAGATGAATAACAAGACCCTGTCTCAGGAAAAAAATAAGTAAGCTTTTTGATGAATTACAAAGATAACAAAGTCACACAACTGCAAAATATTCAAGAAACACTCTCTATGTGACTAGGACTAGGGTAAAGAGACAAGTCAAGGAGGAGGAGAAAAGGAGGCACTGAAGAGTGGCAGGTGTCTATAGTCTAGGACATTCAAGTCTGAAAGAGACCTGAAGCCTGAGGGGGAGTCCCACCCCAACAGCCCCACCACTAAGGGAGCAACTCCTGCCTGAACTGCTGAGCTGCAACTCCTGGCCTCACACACTTCACACAGGCACCCTGCCAGCTCTACTGTTTGGCATGGTTCCTACACTCCTGCTAGCAGGCTCACCATTGCCCATAGTAGAACTTCTGACCCTTTATTTATAATTTATACCTGATCTAAGTGCAATGCAACTTTGAGGTGGTAATTTGGGTCTTTAGGTTCTACCCATGGCTAGTGTACAACTCCTGCTGCTGTTTCTGAAGCCAACTGTTCATTTTCCACACTGCAGGCCTCTCTACTCCATAGGCTTCTTCCCCTTTCCTCGTGAATACTCCACTGTGGGAAGAAGGGAAAATCAAATTAAGTCCAATTGGTCCAAGGTGGATAATCACAGTGGAACATTTTTCAAGTACTGGCCTAAGATTTAACCCACCCATAAACAGGACAATGAAATAACAGGGCCCATCCAACACTTGTAGCTCTTGTACAAAAAGTAAGAGTGACTTTTTAAAACATCAGTGCTGAAGTAAAAGAGAAAAAGTTGAGCTTCAAAAAACCATGTCTTCAAAGGACACAAGGAATTATAAAAATCAGTTTAGTCCCTTGGCCATTCAAAACTTTCTTATACTTTGATCAAAATTCTTTCCAAAAGTCTCAGTATTCCCTAGAAGATTTTTAAGTTGGAAGAACTCAGGGCCATCTCATTCAAAACTTTCCAGCAGTTATCATTCTTCTGTTGTTCTTACTTCCTGGGATAGAGTCCTCACATTTTTCAGCAACTGCTCCAGGCTCCCAACATGTGCCCACCACTGTCAGCAAGCCCACTAACCAGTAGTGACAGAGACTAACATTACCCAACACATACTACGGTCGGGTCAAGCAGGACCTAGGTACCTGAATGCATGATCAATCTAGTCCTCGCATTCTACAGAGAAAGGTATGGCTATCACTGTTACTCTTGTTCTCATCTTCAGAAATGAGGGCATGGATAATAAAGATTAGGGAACTGTTTTGCATGTGGTGGGACCTGACACCCTGGCAGTTTGACTCAGAACCCACACTTTTAACCACTAACATCATCCATCACTCACTAATCTCAGCCTTAGTGGTGTCTTGCTTTCCCTACACTGAGCCAGTTAGCCTTAATAGATCAATAAAGACCTCTTTCTGCACCTCCATTTCAAAGCCTTTTCATTAACTTGGAGCCCTCAGAGGATCCTTCTTTGGCCTGGAGCCCACTCTGTTCACAATATGGAGGGTGAGGTGCTGAGTCACTCTGTTCACTGGTTTATTGAGATTTGGGGAGCTCCTTCTCTGAAACAGCACAGTGTGAAAGGGACACCACTTCCCACCCCATAGGTCCATCTGTCCATTCCAACTGTCAGAAGTGCCTTCTTCTGGTCAGGATTCTCACCAACTATTCACTGGAAGCAGCTCCCCAAACCTGCCCCCATTTCTTTTCTCTTAGGAAAGGATGATTGTGAGTATAGACTGAGGGTAGAACTTGAGTGCAAAAGAGAGAGGAGGAAGGTTTGAGCAGAAACTATGATGAGGACAGGGTATGGGTGGTCCCAGCAAATGTGACTTGGGGGAAAGTGCATAATGATGTAGAGGGTGGGTGCATATGGCTTTGCTGGAAGAATATAATGATCTTAGGATAAAAAGGGAAGAAAGCATACAATTACATTGCGGGTACAGAGAAAATACGTGGATAAACATGAACATGTGTATGTAGGCAAGACAAACCTCAACATGCTGAACGATTCACACATACCTACCCAAACACACACAAGGGACACCCATGGCCATGAGAGCACACGTGGCTATGGGCACAGGGTACACAAGGGTGCAAGTGACTGCAGCATGAGAAAGCACGTAGGGAAAGCATGAGTGCACAGAAGCATGCCCATCAGACACAAGCAGGGAAGGGAAGGATGTTGGGGGGAACCTTGAGCACACACAGAGCAGAGTCAAGAAGCATGAGTCTTGGTGAGAATGAGTTCCCAGAAGAAGCAAAATTTAAGAGAAAGAAAACACAGGAACGTGTAGAAGGGCAAGTAGGATGGAAGGAGATTATGGTGGTGAAAGAAATGGAGAGGCCCCTGCTGCGGTAGAAAGAGCACTTGTGGGAAGACCCCTGCCAATAGGAGTGGAGCAGGAAGCCAATGGGAGCTGCAGGGGTTGCCATGGTAACTAGACAGAGCTGTTATGGGGGAGAAAGATGTAGTGAGGCTGCTGAGGAGTCATGAGTGAGTAGCTTCAAGTGAGGTACAAACTAAATTATGAAGTAGTGACAAAATTATATGAATGAATAAGAGAGAAAAAGGTCTGTTTCCCAAAGTACTGGAGACTCAAATAACCCCAGGATGCACAGAGGCACATGTATTTACAAGAGATGGGATTAGATAGCATGTTCTTTCCAGCTGGGGAGAGGGAATCCCCTGCGCCCTCCAGTCCCCCACTCTCTTCCCACTCCCTTTCCCTTCCCCACTGGGCTGTCCTCCCTGACAGCCCCTCACTTGTAAAGCAAATGGACTCGACTCCCATCACAGCTAAGCCGGTCAGGGGGCTCAGAGGGCCCCCTAGGTAGGCCCCCCGAGGGGTCTGGGGGTGTCGGAGGGTGGCGCCGGGAGCGGAGTTGCTGCCGAGACTGGAGCTGATGGCGCAGTTCAGAGACCCGTTCCTCTTTCTAGAGAAAGAAACACAGTTGGGAGAGTGGGAGAAGGGGAAGAGAGGAATGACATAGAAATGGAGGTATAGGGTAAGTGGACAGAAGAAATTAAAATAAGGAATCAATAAAAGAACAAGGAAAGGCACAGAACATAACAGGGCACCAGTAGAAGAAAAGAGATCAGGGAAGCAAGAGAGAATTTTAAATTAAAAGGAGAAAATGGAGAAGGAAAGAAGAGTCAGTACACAAAAGTTCTAATAAATCACACAGAGATATATGTCAACCCAGTTTGAACATCTCCCTCTTTGGCATTGCACTGACCCCAAAACTATAGCCTGAGGCATAGTAGATGCTGTGGACACCTGCCCAGATCCCCTTTTGCTGTGGGCACACTTGACATCCAGCTGCTTGAGTGTTGGCTGTTAATGGCTCACAGCTGCCTCCCCCAACTGCTACCATGGTCAATGATCACCCTCTTGCCTCAAGAAGGTTGAGTCAAGAGTGCAGTTCCCATTCTGGAGCCTTCCCCACATAATCAGGCTAACACTAGATTTTTAGCTAAAACAGAATCTTGCTCAACCCTCTGCCCTTCCCTATGCTGCTCCACTTACTCCCTTATAGGTTTTCCGAGACCCTCAATAAATCACAAATCTTAGGCACAACCCACCCTAAGACACAGGCCTCCTGGATCCCCACCATCACCCTCATCCCACCATCACCCACACACCTCAGCAATGATCTTTTCCAGTTCACGGTTCTCCTTCTCCAACAGCCGGGACTTCTCCTCCTCATTGTTGTTGGTGGATGACCCTGTCTTCATGGTGTCCTGTGCCTCAGACTGCCATTCCCCTCTGGTGATCAGCCTGCGCATCTGGGGACAGACGTTTGGGCAGGGGATGGTGAAGTACAGCTGTGTCAGTGATCAGCTGATGGAGGGTTAGAGTAGGAAGGAATGCAAAAACCTGGGACAAACTGGGACAAAACAAGGAGGATGTAGGGAAGGGCAGGGAAGAGAGTCCTGGGAGGAAGGGATGGAGACATGGGGCTAGAGAGGGTGGGAGAAGAGCCAGGACCTCACCTTGGGCACAAAAAGCACAACCAGAGTAATATAGGAGGAAAACACGATGGCAAGGGAAGCAAAGGCAAAGGCTGCATCCTGCTGACTGGACAAAATCATGGTGACAGGGGCAGTGATGAGGCACAGGACCTAGGGAGACAGAGCGTGTTTGGGGAGACTCAGATCTGCAGGCTCAGGTAGGATCTAGGGTTTTCTTCCCCCAGGAAACAGCCTATGAGAACAGGGGCCTGGTGAACTATTCACAAATTCAGAATCACCCTCAACTCTAAATTGAGAAAAATCCCAAATGAACTGTCCCAAACTTTTCATGACTTCCACACAACTGATCCCTGATCTAACATCTGATTCTTCCTCGCCCATCACCTCTGGCATATTGCAGTCAGCCTATGGGATCAATATCATGTATCCAGGGAGCTTACCGCAACATTGTAGATGGCCATACCCACGGCCCTGTGGTCATTGATCTTCTCAGTGGACACACTTTTGGTCTCATAAGCAAGAAAGATTCCCAGCAGCAGCAGCAGCCCCTTATAACCATAGAAAATACCTAGGATGGCAGGAAAGGGTCACCTGGGCAACAAGGACCTCCACACTCCCCACTCGATCCTCCACACTCCCCACTCAGTCCTCATCCTCTCTTTGCCCTTTACCTCCTGCTGCTCCTTATAGGTCCACAGCAGATAGGGAGCATTCCTCTCCAATCAGCTCCTCTGACTTAGCACACATCTCACTGTGAGCCCACTTCTATATCCACCCAGCTAGCCCAGACCTCATTGCTTCTACCTGGCATGAGCCATGTTTCACAGGAAGATAGTGGTCATTAGCAGCTATCAGGCAGGCAAGAGCCTGTTGAGCAGCTTTGTATGATTCAGTCTAAGCCACGTATAATGTCTCACTCTTTCCCTCCCTGTGGGAAGATGGCTTTCCAGGCTGAGGAAAGATCACCATTTGTAATTGTAGATCAGAGAAATGTTGATAAGGGCAAAGGGAGCCTAAACCCATGACCTCAAAACCCTGGTCTTAATCTAGGGAGCTAACCAGATATTCCCACTGGTCCCTCTGCTGAACATCCTTACTTTAGACCCTAAATTACTCACCACAAAAGATTGACTGTCCCCTATTCTTAGAAGTACAATGACAAAGAGGGGGACATTCAAACACAGTTGATATGCTCTCTGCCTCCTCTCTCAAAGACCCTTCTCCCTGAAAACCTACTGTCCTTGCCCATCCCTCCTGCTTTTTCTGTACAGTTGCTCTCCTCTCCCCACATCCCACACACCAAGCCACGTATTCATCTTCTTGGAGCTGCAGTGCTCCAGCTGGGGCAGGATAGAGACGTCAATGTCTTCCTTTGGTTCCTCCTTGGCAAAAGTCTAAGGAAGAAAAGGGACCACGGGAAAGACAACTACCCCTCCACCCAAGCCTCCCAACTCCGCTTGGCACCTGACCTCCAACCCTCAATACTAACGCCAAATCCTGCTCTGACCTCCAACCCTCAATACTAACGCCAAATCCTGCTCTGACCTCCAACCCTCAATACTAACGCCAAATCCTGCTCTGGACCAGGGAAATGTTTGTACACATTCTTCCCAAGTCTCCAATACTTCCTGTCTTCAGATGAATCCTCAGATTCATCCTCTCATCCTCTCTGATGAGACTCCTGATAGGAAGGACAAGGAGAACCACTAGCATACAGAAGCCCAGAAAGCACCCTCTGAGTAGCTTTATCCTTCAAGACCATACACAGCTCCAAGATCAAGATAGCCAGTGAGTTCTGCTCACCCTCCTGATCCCAGCACCTCCTCTCAAGCAATACCTCAATGGTCCGGTGCAAGGGGTCCACGATCTGCCAGACGGCGAGAGTGAGGATGTCCGTGCCCACCAGCAGGCCCACCGTAGCATACAGCTTCCAGGGCTCTAAGGTCTGAATAAACATTCAGAGCCAGGTTCCTTTAAGCCCCAGGAACCAAGAAGCAGGGGCTGGATCGGGAAGCAACTTACCTTCCTCCACTCCTTCTTTTCCTCCTTTTTTGTGAAGACCGTGTGAACCCACCAGATCTTGGTGAACATGGAGCCATAGCCCAGACTAAAGCCCAAGCCTAGAAGCCAGAGGCGGGCCTACAACAGGAGAGAGGGCATGGGCACCACAGGATGGCATAGTAGGTGAGATTGGAGCCAGGATGTGGAGGGCCACAGGAGGATGTGTGGGCAGGAAGCAGAGGACAAGGCAGGTAGGACACAATAGCAGGGGATAAGGTATATGGGGAGGACAGGGCAGGGGAGAGCAGGGTACAGATTTCCTGCCTTCAACAACTCCTTCTACCCATCTCTACCCCTACAGTGATCTTGCTAAAACCACCTGATCACTCCCCAGTGCCTACAGGTTATAACCTGAACAGCTCCAGATTTGACAGACACTTCACAGACCCCACCCACCTATCCAGGTGCATTTCCCAGGCCCTCGTCTACCCCATGCTCTAGCCACACTGAACTACTTATTTTCCCTTATCTACTCTCTTCCATCTTTGCTAGCCATGAGGTATGTCCTCTGCCGCTGGAGTAACCTTCCTCTATTCTCCAGCTGGCAAAATCCCATGCATCCTTCTACATGCAAACCCAAACACTCCAACTGTAAGCTGCTTCCCATCTTTGCTCCCACAGCACTTTCTACAAATCCCTACTCCTGTACTTCTCCTGTTGCACTGCAACTGGTTTTCTGCCTCTCCTGCTGCAATCTGATCCCACTGGGAACAGGTTATTCCTGATGAACTCTGTGTGTGTGTGTGTGTGTGTGTGTGTGTGTGTGTAAATGTTATGTGCATGGTCAGAACATGAATGGTGCAAAAGAAAGAGTACAAATGGCAGAATTAAGGAAAAAGTGGGTGTTTCTTACAGTATAATAGAGAACTCAAATTTCACAGCCCCAGAACATTCCATGTACCAAGAGTTCCAGAGGCCTTCTCCCTATGTGATGGTATCCCTTCCCCCCAGCTTTCTCTGTGGTTGGCTTAGATTCTGCCTTCATCCTTCCAAACCCCAAAGTAAGCTCCCACGGGAAGCCCAAGTTCTGGTTCTCAGCCCCCATAGCACAGACAAGCCACCATTGTTCAGGAGTTCTTTATACAGATCCCCTTCCTTTGTCTTCTGTACTTCCCTCCATTTCTTTGCAAGTCACGCCATGGCAACCTTGGAACTGGCAAGTGAACTGCAGAATAGAAAAAGTGTGCAGGCCCAGAAAGGAAGGACTGAGCAAGAGAGAAACCAGAGGTGGTGCTAGGAGGAAGGAATGGGAAAAATAGTCAGGGAAAGCCAAGAAGAAAAGGTAGGGAGCAATAAACCATGGAAGTTGCTCCTGAGAAAGGTGGGAGAGTCACATTCTGCAAGGTAAACACCCACCACCTCCTCACCTGGCAGACGAAAGGGAACTGGCTTCTCCCAATGTGGTAACCATCCAGCCCCAGGGGGAAGACAGCAGCTAATGCCAGCGAGCAGCCCACAGCAGTCAGATTGTTCAGGTTGGGCTGTGAGTTCTGGATATAACTAGGGCAGAGGCGGAGAGGGTGGGAGAGAGAGAGTAGAATTACCCTTCTTCTCCAGGGAAGCTCAACTCTCCAAATGCCATGCAATGGTATGACCCCCAACTCCAGGGCCACAGGACTAAAGGAAGACAGGCATGGCGCAAGCAGCAAAGCCTAGACAGACAGTCAGCTCAGTCATGGGGCTGGAAATGGAGCTACAGAGGGCTTCCCTCAGCACAGGGCCCCCACTGGAATACACTCTATTTAGAGCCCACGATTGTGTTACTGTATTTATTTTCCAGTAAACTGCTTTGGAGAAAGGGTAGGGGTTTCTCCCTTGTGTTCCCAATTGATCAGAATGGAACCCTCTATGATACATGGCCTTAGGAGTCACACAAGTTTTATTCTCAATCCCTCCACAGAGCATGATCACTACCTTAGAGAGACAGATGGGCAAAGATCATGTCAGAAGAGAAACTTACCGGACATGGGAGTTGTAGATGTTAAAGGACAGACAAACAACAGCAAGGACAATGCCCAGGCTGGAGAGAACTGAGACGGAGATAAAGAGTTTCTGTGACAGGAAGCGGAATGTCTTGATGACTAGGGTCTGGTCAGCTGGAGGGGACCCTCCTGCATGGCACAGAGGAGGAAGAAGAGAAAGAAAAAGGAAGGAGGACAGAGGAGTGAAGATGGGATAGGAGAAAGGGGTGAAGGTCGAGATTGCTGCTGTACATTCAGTTTTTGGCTGAAGACATGAGGCCTTCACTGCACTGAATGGGGTTGTGGCAGAAAGAAAGCTCACTGACACTTGGAAAGCAACCAGAAATGAGATGAGAAGATGAGTGAATGCGGAGGCATTTCACCAATGTTGTTGCATCTCATTTTGTTATTGTTTGTTCTCTCTGATTTTCTAACTTTCTTGAAGCCAAGGAAAATGGGAGAGGGAAAAGGAAAGCTGAGAAATAAGCCATATAAGGTCTCTTAACACCAAATCAAAAACTGTCAAAAGATAATTACATAATCAAAAAAGCTAATTCGGCCTCTAGTGTGGCCTTCTAACCTAGGCAAAACAAACAAAACTAGTCTTGAAGTCTAACTCTGACAGGGTAATAGTCCTGAAAATGCTTAACAGTAGTTACTAAGGGAAAGTTCAAGTTTGTCAGAGTTCACAAAAAAAAAATCAATTTGCTTAGTTAAAAAAAAATTAATTTAGGCCATACAGCATTTATAGCAGAACACTGTCCTAAATTCAAAGTATTAAAAGAAAAATTAAAAATTTAAAAAAGCAAACCCCAGCAGTGTTGGGAACGACTAGATTTTGTTGGATGGGGCAGATGGCAGCTGATTTCAATGGCTGTGCCACCCCTCAGTTGCTGAGCTTTTTTTTATCAGTAGGTCCTTCCTTTTCCCTACCTCCAGTATCTTTGCCATTTCCTATTCCTGAGCCCACAAAGTACATCAAGAATAACTGCTTACTTTCCCTCTTTAAAAAGCACATGGTAGTTGGTGGAGTGGCTCAAGTGGTAGAGCGCCTGCCTAACAAGTATGAGGCCATGAGTTCAAACCCCAATACCACCAAAAAATTTTAAAAAGCACATTCTGATAGCAGATCACAAAGAAAAGAAGTTTTGCATCCTTGCCTATAGTTTAGCAACCATTTTCCTGAAAAAGAGGCAGCTCTAGGCTTGAAGTAGCTGGTTCAGATATATCAAGGCACCAGGAGGACATCTGGAAATCCAAATGGAGCTTCTATTTCCCGCCCCCCGCCCGCCCCCTGCCTTTAATCCCCAGTTACCCCAGCAGTGTACTATTAAAAATAGTCCGACCCACTGCCTAGTCCCTCTCCAAATACACTCCTCCCTCCCTCTCTCTTAGAAGCTATTCTCGTTCTTTCTAAACCCCTGCCCCTAGTCGATCTCCTTGTCACATTTCAGTCTAGTGGCACCCACCACTCACCTTATTCAAATGTATGACCATTTTCCTTGATTATTCAGAAGGATTAAAGGAGAATATAAACAGGAGCACTTACCAATCCATTTATCTGTTTTGGACCAAGAAAGATCATCCTTGGTGCTGTCATAGTAGCCAATCTTCTTGTAGCTACCGCCTGAGCAAATGACAATAGGAGTGGTCATAGGTAGACAAAAAACAATCCCAGGCACTTCCAGTTTCCCACTTCCCTAAACCTGCTTTCCATGACTACATTTGACATTATTACCTTCATCTGAGCAACTAAAGGACCTAAGGGTCATTTGAATCAGCAATATAAATTGGTTCCCAAGGCAACTCGAATAAACAAGAATATCTTATGTGTTTAAAACTCTTCATTGAGGAAGGAGCCACAGTACGTCTGCCACCTATTCCACTGCCTCACACCTCTCTCGGTAAGTCTCTCACTTTGATTCTGGCTTTGAAAGCTTTAAACATATTTCTGCATATTCTCTCTCATGATGGACAGAACCACAGAATCTATTTTCCAATGGCTTTCATTTTAATTTTAGAAATTTCTCTCCTGTTGGCTTGAATTCTAATTCCTTGGATAAGTTATATCCGCCTCTTAGAGAGCAACTAAGTAAAATTCAGTCACTCCTAAGATTTCTCTCCTAGAACCATACCAGTTAACATAACTATTCTTCCAAAAGCCAACTCACAACCTTTTCATGATGGCTGAAGTCCATTCCCACTTGTCTTATATACAAAGAAGAGCTGAAAGAATGTGGGAGGTGGGGAGAGGGGAAGAAAAAAACTTTTCACAGGAGACCAAGAAATGGGTTTTTTGGCCAAGCCTAAAGAGGCTGAGAGTGGGGTAGAGTTGAAACATTTAAATCACAAAAGTTCTGCAAACACCTAATCAAGCAAAGTTATAAGAAAATACAATTTAGAAAAGCCAAACTACATCTACTACAGATAAATTAGGAATGCTAGTTTACAGAGCAAGGAAATTCAATGGATTCCCTTTAAAAATAAAACAAACAAAGCAGGTTCCCTAGGCTCAGTTTGTCTTGCAGCTTTGAAGATGCACTGACAGCTCTTAACCCCTTAACCCAGCCCTGGAAGGGGAATTTCTAAAACTAAAATGGAGGCCACTGAGAAGAGAGAATGGCTGTTTTTAATTTGCATGCCCCTTTTAAAGAACACAACTTGAGAGATCCACAGTGTCTAAGCTTTTTACTACTTTTATTATTTATTATTACTATTTAAAGGCTTGATGAACACAGTTAAAAAAGAAGGGCAGGAAGGGGAAGCACCAGACAGTTTTGTAATGTCTTGAGTGTTCTCCCAAGCAGGGATCTAACCAAGTCCCAACCTGCTCCTCATCTTCACCCACCCTCCCTGCCCCTGCACTCACCCTGTAGCTGCTCGATAAGCGTCCATGCCATCCGGGAGCCACTGGCATCAAACACCACATGGCCCTGAGGGGGAGGAACATGTGGAGGAAGGCAGAGGGGATAAAAGCAGGAGGGAAAAGAGAACACCAGGGAATCTCTGAATCCTTCTGGTTTTGATGTAATTGAGCTCCTGAATGAATGCTATTTATGGCATTTGCCTGCATATAGGACATACCCCAGATGCCCATACCCTAGATTCTAGAAACCTTCTTCTCTGGAGAAGCTTTACCCCTGAGATTTGAATGGGATAAAATCTCCAGAGCACCAGGAGACTTGGCTTCTAACTATATGGCGTGAGCAAGTCACCAAATCCCACTAGGCACTAACTTTCTTGCTTTAAAAGGAATAAAGTTATAAACTTTCAGGTTGTTTCCTCTTTTAAGATCTTACAAGTCTCCTCTCACCCATAAACACCTGGACTGGTTTGAAAAGACACATGGGGGGCGGCGGCTGAAAGAAATAGAATACATCAATTTTTCACTGTAGTCTTTTGTGGGATTTTCTGGTTTAGGGATCCTACTCCCCTGGTGTGAGAATGACTTTTGCAGAGAACTAACTGAGAAAGATAGGGAATGCATGTTTTAGAAGCCTTTGAGGGTGTCTCTATCACTGCAGGACAGGTAAATGTGAAGGAAGTTGCTATAACTCACAGAAACACCCTCAAAGGACGAAGAGTTCATCGCTCGGTAGATTTGGTCCGTAATGGTCTGGTTGTTGTAGTTGAAGTCCTCCAAGCGAACACCCGAACGGCCACCTCCTCCAGATGTCTTGTTCAGGGCCAATGCCAAGGCCCAGATGGCATCATAGGCCAGTGGTGCTTCCTGAAAGCCTCCTGTCTCCTCAGGGTGCCTTTTGAGTCGCTTGGTTAGTTTCTCCACAAATTCCTGGGATGTCTGGGGAAGAGGAAAGCATTAGAATGTGGGGGGCGGGGGGATCCAATGCTAACATAGACACTTCAACTTGAACGGATGGTTCATGCTCATGTTGTCAGATGGAGCATATGTACACTCAAAATCTTTAACTATACCCATGTGTCTGTCTTAGGTTGGAAGCTACTAGACTAAAGCAGGGATTAGCAGGGTCCTGTGGTCTTAGTGTGTACAGCTGCTAGCTTAGAACTACAAACAGAGAAGTCTGATGAATAAACACTCTGGATAATGAATGGCAAAGGAGAGAAAGTAGAGACACAGCAAAATAAGAAGCACAGATACTGCAATGAAGAGTTGTGACGCTGGTGTTCTCCCAACCTTCAGACTTTCTCAGTAGTGTTGACCCAGGATCTAACAGCTCCTCCAAATCTGAAAGATCCTAGAAAAGGCGACACCACTGTCTTTCTCACTCTGCTTGTCAACCAGAAAGATTTTTCCTTAGGCTGCTAACTTCTTGCCATCCTGGTGTGAGTGACTTTAGTTCTCTGTCTCTTAGAAGACTGGAGACTGTAGAAATATCCTTCACACTTTAGAGGTTCGTTATTCAATTCTACCCACACCCTTTCAACACTCAAACGTCTTTTTCCAAGAAAGCTAAAAAGAATGATAGTTCTTTAAAATCTCAGGAGATGGTCAAAATATCTGACTTGTAAACTGGACAATAACCCCATGTTTGGCTTAATAACTATAGGTGAATTGCTTACCTTCTTGAAACTGCCTCCCATACAATACCTCTCAGAAGATATAGAAGAAAATGCTCGACAACTATTTCTTGGCAAGGCATTAAGTGCTACACAGAGCACTGCACAAATAATTGTTTGGATTCAGAATATATTAACACACTAATGAAACAATGGACACATGAATGAAGAAAATGTAAATATCCTTGTTCCCCATGCCCTGACCACTAATTTTTATTTATTTACTTTTCTATTCAACTTTCTGGAACCAGCCAGGTGTAGTGAAAATAACTGATCCTGGAAGACTCAACAATCGCTGAGGACAAGACCAAGATCCATTCCTTTTTTTGGTTGTGAGGAGGGGGGTGTTTGTTTGTTTATTTGTTTGTTTGGTGGTACTGGGGTATGAACTCAAGGCCTTGCACTTGGCTAGGTAGATGTCATTTGAGCCGTGCCTCCAGCCCCTCTTAATTTAGGTTATTTTTCAAGATAGGGTTTCATGCTTTTGCCTGGCTGGCTTCTGACCGAAATCCTCTTACTACTTATGCCTCCCTAGTAGCTGGGATTACAGATGTGATGACCACACCAGCTTTTTTTTTTTGATAGGATCTCACTGACTTTTTTGCCTGAGCTGGTCTCTAACTGTGATTCTCCTGATCTCTGCCTCCTTAGTAGCTGGCATTACAGGTGTGAGCCACCGTATCTGGCCTTTCCATTCCTCTTTTAATCATTAATACCTAGTACTGTACCCAGCCTATAATGTCTATTGGATTTGGACACACAAATACTGTGTATATTATTGTGTATGCTACTATAAAGGTGGATACATGTCATTATTTGTCCAAACCTATAGAATACACACCACCAAGAGGGTACCCTAATATAAATGATAAGACTTTGGGTGTGTATACTCCATCAATACAGACTCGTCAATAGTAATAAGTACACCAATGCGGTGGGGGATGCTGATAATGGAGATGGTTATGCATGTGGAGGGCTGTATAGGAACTCTCTGTACCTTCCTCTCAATCTTGCTGTGAATCTAAAACTGCTCCAAAAAAAAAATAACATCTTAAAAAAAAAAAAGTTCACCATGTGGGTAAATAGATGGATGGATTGTATTTCTAATTAATCCATTTACCTAGTATAAAACCTCAAACAAGTTATTAAGTCCCACTAATTGGCTATTCAGTTTTAAAATGGGAATAATACTACTTTAAAGAGCTCAAATAAAGATGAAATAAGAATGTGTATAAATGCGGGGGTATAAAGTAAGTTACATTCTCTCCTTGTGAATTTCCCTGTGCTGCACCCTCATCTGTTACTGATACCCATATCTATAATTCCAACCCAGTATCTTAAGTCTTATATCTCCTACTGGCTCTAATGCATTTGCAATTGGATGACCAATAATTACAAATTCAAGTTAAGCATGGTAGCAGCACCTATATATAGTACAAGCTACTCGGGACGCTAAGGTAGGGATCAGGGGGTCCTTGAATCTGTAAGTTCAAGACCAGCCTGGATAACAGCAAAACTCTGTTTCAAATTCAAGTATTTCTAACACTCCAATACTGCCCATTACATAAGACTGAAACCTTGGCATCACACTAGACTCTTTCAAATCACCAAATCCTCCTAATTCTTTTCAGATGTTTCATTAATATCATCCCTTCTTATACAAGATGATGATGACAATGATGGTGGTGACTAACATCTTTAACATGTGCCAGGCAATTTTCTGAGGTGCATTTAGCAATGTGCTTAATTCTCAGACAATCCAGTGATTCAGAAATAAGGAGACTGAGGCACAGAAATAAATCATGCAACTTGTCTGAAGTTACACTGCTAGAGAGTGATAGAGCTGGGATTCAAACCTAAGCAATCTGGCACATTACCTACCCTGTACTGCTTCTGTTCTATAATGCCTTGCTCCAAGAGCACCTGATCATAGACAGTAGCTAAGCTGAGACTTTCTGAGCAGTCTTTTGGCTTCCAGGTCTATCCGATCCTCACTTCAAAGTAAAGATTGCATCAGAAAATCACCCAGATGGGAAGGGATTAATCTGATCAGCATGTTATCCCTGCCAGATCCTCAAACTCTCAGTCACTCTGAGTCTGGCCAATAGAAGTAACACTAACCCCTCACCACCACCACCATGACTAAAATTATGAAAAAACAATCCTTTCCCTTGAGTTAGCGAAGATATGTCATACATTTTCAAAGATGAACTTTACTGTGCTGCCAAGGGAAACCGAACAACAAAAATTCCACAATCCACAGAAATTAGTGAATTAACCAACTGTAATTTTATATCCTCATTGTTTTTAGTAACCCAGTCTGGCTGCCATTGTACGTGAGAACGGATGCTGTACAGTGATCTGACGTGTATCGGGAGGCAGCTTTTTAGCTTTTCTGTACCCAGGTCTGATGGAATCTTCACCCCGATCAGTATGTACTCCATTCCATCCCGGGTATGCTACCTCCCACCTTCCCCTGAGACCATGGCTTTATTCTCCAAACCCGCTCTAACCCACCTCTATTTATGTTCCCTAAAGATTCTTTCTCTAAACCAAGGTTTTGCAACCTCTACACTATTGACATTTTAGGCAGGATAGATTTGTCATCTGGGGTTGAACTGTGCATTGTAGGATATTTAGAAGCAACCTTGGCCTCTACCCATTAGACATCAGAACCATCTATCCCTCTCCAAAGTCCCCACCCCCTAGTTGTGTCAATCAAAAATGCCTCCAGATATTGCAACCTCTGATTAAAAACTACAGCCCTAATAGTGCTCATAGTTTGATCCCCAGACCAGTAGCATTGGAATCTCTGGGAACTTATTACAAATGTTAAATTCTTAAGCCCTATCCCAAATCTACTGAATCAGAACTTCCAGAGAACTGGCTCAAGTAATTGATGTACTAACTACCTTTCCAGTTGGTTCTTATGGAAGCTAAAATTTGGCAATTACTGATGTAAACAAACCTGAGGCCATCCTATGGAGTGACAGTAATCCTATGGAGTGACGGCAACTCTGCTTCTATTCTAAGTCTCCAAGGCTTTGCACCCCCTAGGTCCAACCTTTGCTTCTAATCCACATCTCTTTCTGCTGTTTGATTCACCTATAATCTTCCCTAGTCAGTTATTAAGGCTGCTTCTCTCCTCTGTTGAAAATCTTGGGCTTTACCTAGCATTTTAGGCTGGTATCACTAGAAGCTGTATGGCCTTGAAGACAGGCACCATGTTTCTCTAGAGACCAGGAGCCAGAAAAAGACCCTTAACATCCTGCCCCAAAACCCAAGTGTCCCTCAATATCCCCAACCAACTCTCATCTTTCTGTCAGGCTCCTTTAACTCCCTGTTGTAGGATAGAGGACACAATTGGCTCAGGGGACCAACAAGCTCTTCTGACTTCAGTAACCTGCTCCACCATTTTTCCAGGTTCTGGAAGATGCTTCACCTCTCAGTTACTCTACAGAAAAGTCTGTCCAGAGTGTTTTTTACTGTACTTTTCACTGTAATTTCATTTTGCAATAAACATAGTGTGTCCTTAGAATGTCCCACAAATGTTGCCTTGTTCACTTAAAGAATGGGAAAAACCCAGATTCAATACTACTAAAAACTCCTTTTCCAGAACAAGATACATTATGAGTTTATGATCAGAATCCCTGAATTCTGCCACACTCTGATCATTCATCACAACTCATTACCTGAATCTTATTTATCCTTCACTCAAAAACTGCTAAACAGTATTTATTAGTGATAAAAGTAAAAACTTTTTAGTCAGGTTCACACTAACCGATGGGACAGAGTACTTTGGTATTTGATTCAACTAGGATTCAGTTCTAGCAAGACCACTCAGACAAATCATTAAACTTCTCTTGTGTCCTAATTTTCTGGTCTATACAATACAAATGATAGTTGGGTGCCAGTGGCTCACACCTATAATCCTAGCTTCTGGGAAGGTTGAGATCAGGAGGATCGCATTTGAAGGCTAGCTCAGGACCTCCATCTCCAAAATAATCACAGCAAAATGGCCTGGATATGTGGCTCAAGCAGTAGAGCACCTGCTTTGCAAGCACAAAGCCCTGAGTTCAAACTCCAGTCCCACCAAAAAAGCAAAAAAAAGGAATGTAAATGATAAATCTACATAAGCAGGTATTCCATGCCTGAGGGTTCACCCAGCATAATAAGCAGACAAACAGGTTACTCTATCGGCTCTAAAATATAGTGCTGAGTAACAATAGAGCCTCTTCCCCTTTGCCCACATATACAATCACTTGTGACCCCACCCTCAGGGCTGCCCCAGCCCTTCCAAATCAGATGATGAGCCTTCTAGCTCCAAGTCCGTCACTAGCCAGCTATCTGGGGCTACATGATTTCAAAAGTCTCTTTTACATAAAAAATTCTAAAAAAAGAACCATTTGAAAATAAAAAGCGTCAAGATCCAAGCTAATTTCATATCATTTGTGAGTGAATATTAAGTAATTCTGAGGTACTAATGTAAGTCACCAAGAAAATAAGATGCATTTCTGTCCAGAAGCAGCATTCTGGTAAAGGTGTGCTTGCGTATCCAAGCATCTATATTATCATTAACGCCTCTCTCTCATTTGACTTCTCACCAACTGCTCCTTGTTTCCGTGGTAACAGCCCTTCCACTCATCAGGGGCCTACTGAACATACCATTCTATTGCTTCTCTCCCTCCCGCCCAAGGAAGTCACAACAGAGATAGAATCCACAGGAGACATGACGCAAGTAAGCACAGAGTGGGCACAGGCCCCGGCCCCTTCCCCTTCTAGACATCCAAACTGCACACCCTCTCTTCAGCCCTCCCCTCAGGTGCCAGCCTCCAAATCCCTATATTCTCACCATGTTGGAAATGCTCCGGGTATTGGCAGGGTTCAGCATGACAATCTCAGTGGTGATGTGGCCCTCCACCGCCTCCGTCATCTCATCCACTGTGCAGTTGATGGAAGGGTCATAGATCTTGAACCAATTGTCTGCATACCACCCAATGAGGAACCAGACGTACTTCTTCCCAAAGAGACGCTCCTTATACACCTGCATACAGAGGAGGAGGGATGGGGGGCAGTTCAGGGGCAGGGGTTGGTGCTATTTTACTGACACTATTTAGTTTCTTGGCAATCAGAGAAGAGCAGCAGATTTTTTTTTTAATCTATAAATCTTAGGGTCCTAAATTCTGTCCCGGCCCCACTCTTTCTGAGTAGTCTTTTCAGTCAGTCAGGAAAGGAAAGATGGGAATCACTAGTGAATTGGGAAACACAAAGAAGGAAAATGAGAAAGTACAGTGTGTGTGTGTGTGTGTGTGTGTGTGTGTGCGCGCTCAAGAAACAGAGGCAGAGCATCATATCAGTCATCACCTCAGATCATTTGTTATCAATTTGAGCAGAGAGGCAATGAGGAGACCCCAGGAGAAAACCAAGGGAAAGAGCCCTCCCAGTGTCCCTCCCTCTTCAGATCCCAACTCCACCTCACAAAAAACTTTCCGGGCTTCGGTCTCATAGAAAAGTCCCACGATGATTCGGGCATCCTGACGCTACAAAGTGGAGACAAAAAAAGAACTCCTGAGGGATGCCTAGGAACGCCTGAGGGGCTAAACCAGGTGCTTTCACAGCTTTGATTTCCCATCCCAAAGTGCTTAGTGCAGAATAATGTTCAACGGACAGTGGATAAATGTCAGCTGGAAGACAGAGCTAAACTTCCCCCAGGAGACACTGTTGCCTCGCAGAATGAAAGTCTGCCCCCACCTGACTCTCCTCTTCAGCTGACCACCATCCCCCAATCCGACCCCTCTGCAGGCTGAGCCCACCATTCCTGGCCATCCCACCTTTAGGTTTTTGACTGGCACAGCTGGATCTGAGAAGAAACTCTGGCGGAAAGTAATCTCAATTCCAGCCTCCTTCACTCGCTCCTCTAGGTCATCCAGAGTCTTGAGTGGGAAAGAGAAACAAAAAATGTAGGGAGCACAATGAGGTAAAACAGATGTTAACTGGGGGTTGCACCTCAGAGCAAAGGAACAGCATTCTGACCATAGCCCCAACAGCTTCCATCCCCCAACTGGAAAGGACCTGTGGCCTTAGGAGGTGGCTTCCAAGCAGGAAGGTACATGGTGAGTCTATGGGGTCTGTGTCTGAGGAAGCAACCACATTCACCCAACTCCTACAACTGAAAAGAAATACAGAGAGACCAGAAACAGGGGCTGGAATAGCAAGATGATGCCAAGCTCAAAAGCCAAGTGGGCAGACAGACAAAAGGATCAGAGAACGGTCTGAGTCACTGAGAAAAGTGGGGAGGGAGGATTAAAGGGCCAATGAATATGTGAGTGGGTAGAAGACCCAAAGAACAGAACAAAAGGGAGGAAGCCGACTGCCTTCTTCAGATACAGTCATGTATTTTCTCTCTACCTCCACAAACCTCACTGCTTCTCTCACCCTCTCTTCATCCACTAGCATCTCTCTCAATGTCAACTACCAGACCCATATATTTGTCTCTTGTCTATCTGCCTCTCTTCTCTCTCTCAGCCCACTTTCTGTATCTCTGTCTCTCCATCTCTAGCCCCCACCCACTAACTCCATCCCTGTGTCCCCATTCACTCCCACCCGCCAGCCCTCTTGAGTGCCTCTAGAATCCCCTACTTTCCTGGTTTCTATTTCATATTCCCTTCCTCCTCTTGACTCAACTTCAAATTGAACCTACTTTAAAAGAACTGAGTCATTTTGGGACTATCTGTCGGGGGAACAGCACATCAAAAGGAAAAAGAAATCATAAAATCAAAAAGATGGAGAGGATCCCAAAAATTCGACTCATTCATTCCCCTGGCTATAGAAAGAACATGCACTTAACCCACTTGGAGTGTGTTCCTTTTTTTGATAAAGAATCAAGATCTTTCCTGTGGTACATCTCTCTCTGCAGGACTTTGAGTAGATGCCCCTCTCACCCTTTCCCCAGTCCCTACTCACTGAAGTGAAGACCTCTGTGGTCTGCTGGATGGTGGCAATCTTCTTCCAGCCCCACTTTTCAAAGAGTTTCACACGGGTAGGGTTGTGGAGTGTGGCAGATGGATGTGTTCGGAAGAATGTGGGAAAACGCTGCCGGTTTGACAGAGCTGGTGAGCTGGAGCCATAGGAAAGCTGGGGGACAAGGACAGAGCAACAGGGTGTGTCCATGGTAGTCTAAGAGCTCCTTTAACCCTTTCCTTACTTTTGGGGTCTTCTACCCTACTCTCTTTAAACCACCCCACATTTGCTCTAGGTAAACTGATATTCAAGGCCCCCACACCTCTCACAATCGAATGCTCTTTTACTGATCTAACTCCAGTTCCTTCTGAAGAAGGAGGTCAGTGGCAGCACCATCAGGCCACTGTTGCTAGGAAGCCAACCAGCTCAGGTCTACAGGTTTTGAATCCTGAAAGTGATCCCTCTCCCAGTCCTCTTAAATACAAAGTGGCAATCCCCCCTACTTAGTACAGCCCAAAAGGGAATGACCCCATCTTCTGACCCCCACAGCCCTGTTTACCACAATGAGGTTCCACATCCTGGCAGCCTCGGCCACAAGTGTGGAGACAGAACTGCAGCCAGGCATGAGGATGATCTTGATGGGGTCATTGTAGAGTAGTTCATACAGGTACTTGGTGGCTTGGCCTGGGTCACACTGAGTGAAGAGGGAGGGGATGAGGGCAGACTCCCCCAGGGTCCCTTCCCTCCTTGCAATTCCTACTCTTATCTTTCTTGGACAATCTAACTCCATTCTCAATTACTCACTTTCATCATTACTACCATATTCTTCTCCTTCCTGATATCTCTTCCTGTCAAGTTTCTTGATTCTCTGCTTTCATTAAACTTCCTTCTCTGTCTTCCATCTGGCACCTTATCCCTATGGGCTGCTGCATACCCCTCCTTAGGTATTAATGCATATACTGCCTTCTCTCCTTTCAGCTCATCCTCAGACATCTCCAAGCCCACTCGCTTGTCACCCCTGCCCCGAATTTCATGCTTCTATCCCCCAAACATCTGTGGGGAGAAGAATCTGCAGGAACAAAAGTAAATTCCCTCCAGGTTCCCAGACAACTTCCTCAAAGCCATATTATAAAATTTGCTTTTTCACCACTGTAAACTCCCTCTCCCCACCCTCTTTTTTTTTTTTTTTTTTTTTCCTGTCTCTTCTCTTTTCAGGGCTAGTGATAAGTAAACAAGAGCATACAGGAACAAAACCAGTAGGGGTTCTGCTCAGTACCCCATCCCCTCCTGCTGGGCCCTGACATTTGACAGGTCTATTAGGGAAAAAACAACACTCAAGGGTGGAAGTGAGGAAGAATCTAAGATGTGGAAAGAACAGGAAGAATAACTAGAATGGAACTCTCCAGAAACCAGATGATTTTAGGGGTGCATCCCTGAAAGAGCTGAACCAAGCTGGGGAAAGTAAGCAATGCAGAAAGCTAGAGAGGAAAAGAAGGCTGGGAGGAGGGGAAGTGGGGGAAGGAAGAGCCAGCCATGGGTCTCCCACTGCCTGTTCCCCTCCTGCTGAAATATGACATTTCATAAGCTGCTGGAGCCCCAAAGGAAGTGGAGAAGAAATGGCAGCCAGTGGGGAGCCAGGGCAGAGGGGACACAGACAGGAGGCACAAGGGAGTAGGGAGGGTAAACTGGGGGGAGGATGGAGAAAGGAAATAAAGAAAGTCCCCTAGAGCCTGCTTACTTCCCACTGAGGCCTGACATTTGAAACTCTGTGGGAAGTTGGAGACAAGGGGAGCCAGGAGAAGCAGGTGAATCTGAAGAACCAATACTCACCCTGATTCTGCTGCTCACCCCATCCTCACCCTCTGCCAAGGGCAGTTCTCAACTATATTTTAACTTTCTCCTAATGTCTCCCACTTGGGCATCTTTGAACATCTTTACCATCCTGGGGTACCACCTTCCTACACTTTCCCAGCATCTGTTACTTCAAATCTTGCCCCCAGATTCTCCCAAGGTCGGTGTCTGTGCCCCTCCACTTCTTGCCTGAAGGTTAATTAGGAACAAGGAAGACACAGAAGAACCTATAGTTAAGCATAAACAGGGAAATGTATGTGGCCCCAATGTATGTGGGCTCTTGTTTCCTCATTTCTTCTCTACATTTTCTTACATCCCATCTATACTCTATGCATCACTGTAGATTCCCTCCTGTAGGGAGTTCTCACCCCTCCCCAATAGGCTTCATCTGTTCTCTTTCTCCTTTGCTCTTGCAAGGATCTGGACTAACAGGCAGGAAAGGGGCACATTCCAATTCCTCTGCTTTACCCCCTCCCCTTTGCTACCTCTGCTACCTTCTCTAGAACCCTTCTCCTAGGTCCCCCATCTGCTCCCAACACCTCTAGGGAATCACCTGTCATGGTAGATGAGTTTGAGCTCACAGCAAAGCTTCCCCTGTCTTCCTGCAATGCCCTATCATAAAGACTATATCCAGCTCTTGGTCTCTCTCCCCATCCCATCCCCATAGCCAATGATCTCTCTTGTTCTCCCAAGCTTGACCACTCCAACAGATCTGACCATCTTATTTCTCTTCCTGCCTGTACCCTCCTGTTCTTTCCTGGGATTAGCAACAGCTCAGGCATCTACCAGGCAAGATTTCCATTAGTAAAAATGCATATACTACTTGGGATATCTCCCTGAGCAAGGAATTCAAATCTGAATTCAAACTCCTGTGGTGAGTCTTATGAGCCCTGATGTTTGATAACCACAGAGAAGGTATCCAAAGGGATTTTTAAGTTCTGGTTCTAAGCTCCTAACAATTCTTTGCTCTCCTCTACCCAAGCACCCTACTTGCAACCTCACTTCTGCCCTCTTTCCCAGCACATACCTATTTTTAAGTATAATGATGTTCTAAAGAATGAACGCAAATTATGAGCATACCCCAAGTATAAAATGGCCATCTCCCTACCTCATGCATTCTATCGCTCTAATCCAAATCCTCAAGTCTCTGAAGCCACACAACAGAGAAGATAAACTTAAGGAGGTCCCACATCTTCTTCTTTCCCTGTGTCATATCCTTCCTTACTCCCTAATTATTCCCCTTTCCCCAGGGAGAGGCTTGAGAAAGAAATCTTATTATAGACCATCCCCTAATACCATTGAACTCAAATTTCCTTACCATCCCTCCCAGCCCCCCTCCCTTTTCTAACCCTATGTCCCACTTTTGCCTCAAATCCTAGAGGATTTTATCTTTAAAAAGATAAAACCAGGACCCCCAAGTCCCCCAAGATGCCCCAGGATCCCTCAATATCCCCACCCTTCCTCCCGACCTCCATCCCCCTCTCCATTCTCTTCTGTTCTCTTTCTTCTACCAGTATCCTGACTCCCCTCCACCCCCAGGCTATTGTGGGGTTTCCTGTGTAGACCCTAATGAATTTTTTCTCCCAGTGCCTCTGCCCATTTCTTGGCCATTAGTCTTTTTGAATCACTATATGCCATACAGTCTCATGGTCCAGGAATTCTCCACAGGGTTGGGGATGGAGGGATGAGGAGTCAGGTAGGGCTCACAGCTGACTTGCTGTTTGTTTTGATAAATAAACTAGAGCTCTCAAGTCACTCTAAATTTTCTTCATTCTCTCCCTATTCCTCTCAGCTCCAACCTACACCAAGATTTACCTTGTTACCATGGTAAATGTAAACCCACACCACCTCTGACATTCCCTACAGCCCCCAACTCAGTACAGGGTTAGTTTACTCCCCCAGAGAATTGGGATGAGCCAGTAGGATCCTCAATCCATCACCACTTTCCTTAACCCCTGGCACTTCCATGACCCTCCTACTGGCGCAAATGGGTCTGCCTTGCAGCGTGACTAACCATCTTGAACCCCTAGACCCTCATCTGTCCGCGATTCACCCCCCAAGGTCCTGCACCCCCAGCCTCTCTCATGCTAGTCACACATGGGAGGGGTCTGCCTCGCAATCCCAAACTAGGACTCAGGCACCCGCAGCTGGCCCCTGCCCATTAAGCCCCCTCCAACCACCCACTCCCATGTCCGGGGCTACCTTGCTGTCGTGGTGGATGAGCTTGAGCTCATAGTCCGGCAGGATGTCCCTGCGGCTATTCACGTCCTCCAGCGCCATCTCCACCGCAGGCTGGCAGGCCTGGCCCCCTGGCCAGCCCCCGCTCATGGGAAACAGCGCCCCGATGTACACTGCGCGCCGTTCTGAGGAGGGGTGCGGGGGGACCCTCGGGTGAGGCCTCGGGAGATGGGGGGAGTGGGAGGCCCATACCGGAGCCACCCCAGCCGCCATCACCACCAGAAGCGGCAGTGGCCACCCCACCGGGAGACAGGGGGCCCACGACCCATGGCGGGGAGGGGGCGGGGGGTAGCTGCTTGGGGAGAGGGAGGAGCTCAGGGGGGACACTTTTCCTGGGGAGGGCTTCTGAGGGGGTGTCGGGAAGGCGCCTCCATCCCAGGTTTTGTGGAGAGGAGGGGGCTAGGGCCCTGGGGAAGCAGGGAAGGTTGGCTTCCTACAGCCCCCGGCTCTTGCTCCCGCCACCGCCACCTCCACCGCGGACTCTCCTCGCGGACTGACTGACCGACGGAGGGGAGGAGGAGGAGGGAGATGTGGGGCTGGGAGGGGGCTCTGACGTCACGGGCGGCGCGCGGCAGCGGGGTGGAGGGGGGGCACAGGAGATGAGGAGGTAGGAAGGGGGCGGGGATGGAAGCGGGCAGCGAGGTGGGAACCACAGTCAGAGCTGAAGGGAGGGGAAGGGACGGAGAGAGGACGCAACCTCGCAGGGTTTAGAAGAGATGAGGAAAGGAGGGGTCCCACCTAAGGGAACATTAGGAGAGGAGAAAAGAGGGGACGGGGTGTGCCAGGAGAGCGGGGTAGGCGTAGGGAGCTAGAGATGGGGAAGGGGAGTGGGATGGGACACGGAAAGGGGCTCACGCCAGAGGTCTAAAAGGAGTGTTTGACTACGTAGGGTGAAGGACTGAGGATGGCGAGAGGGAGAGATGGGAAAGGTTTGAAATGAGAAAGGGGAGCGTAGATATAGAGGGGAATGATGGGGATTGAGGGAAGGGAACATGGGGCTGGGTAGACAGAAGAATAAGAAAGGGTGATGGGAGAAAGAACTGCATAAGGGGTAAACAGAAATGAAAGAATGGCGGAAGAGGGTCGGTCAGGGATTGGATGGGTGGGATGGGCTGCTGGAACCCAGCGAGTGAAATCCTAGAAAGGGGGCAGGCAGGAAAAGGCTCCTGAAAAGGTCGGAAGGAACCCCACCGGGAAGCTCAGGTTCTCCCAGCCCGCTGCCGCCCCCTGCCGGGGCTTTGCCATTTGGCAGCGAAGCGGAGTCTGGGAGGAGGTGGAGCCCAGGGAAGTGCAGCCAAGCAGGGAGATGGGAGGGATCGCAGCCCCGCGGAAAACCGCGACTGGAGGCACGAAAGAGGTAGGGAGAAAAGGGGACGACCGCAAACTGGGGTGGCTAGGGGGGAAGGTCGATAAGGACGACACCCATAGTTGAGGGGCAGAATTCCTGTGGGTGGAGGGTGAAGAGTGAAGGGTAAGGGGATTGCATTGCACGCGATAAGGGTTTCTGATCTCACCTGAGTGTGGCGTTCGATTCACTGGCAGCAGGAAAGACGGGGATCAGAGAAGAGTTACCACGGGCGCCCAGCTTCCCAGGCCTGATCCCAGCCCCCTCCCACACCTGTCCTTGCCGAAGACTGGGGAGGGCAGAAGTCTGAGGGGAGGGTGCCTGGGGATAAGAGCAAGGTGGGGCTAGGGGTCAGGACTTGTCTTTGATTTTTCACAGGGCAACAGAATTTGAGACGGAGTGCCAGCAGCTAAGGCAGAGGCAGATCCTGTTTTCTAGAGCTTGAATATTATAAAAATTTAGGGGTCACTCTAAGAAAAAATTAAAAATGCAATTGGTTTTAAATAATTGCTGTTACAAAGCTTATTTTTGCAATTTTTACAAAAGTTGATTACCATATGAACACATTCTTAGAGCTTTCTACCTTATTAGAGGATAGGGAGGGGGCCTTTTATTTGATGGAACCCTGAAGCAAGTTTTGTTAGCCTCATGGTAAACCCACCCCTGGATAGGACATCCAACTTCCAGAATGGAATTGTAAATTAGAAGCTAAATAACTTGAGTTAGTTGATGAAAGACAGGACCAAAGATCTTGAAAGTGTCTATAAGGGTAGAGGAAGCATGAGGCATAGGAATGGATGCCTGTATCCCAGAAGAGAAGACTACAGAGGGGGAATTTGGGTGCCCAAAAAAGGGAGAAGTCTGCAGAACCTGATGGCAAAAAGGTGTTAGGTACAAAACCGATTATTCTTTTGGAGAATAATACAGGTTGTCTAGGAGGTATAGAAAAGAACTTCCCACCCATCCTAGAGTTGTCCTTGATGTGCTAATAATTCTGTCCCCAGTATTAAGTTCTTTTACCCTGAGATGTTTCCACTTCCAGATCTCCTCTAATAAATTTTTATAAATGCAATATTATTTAATTCTGGCCCTTTATAATAATTCAATTATAGAGTGAATGATAAAGGATCAATTCTAGAAGAGGGTGATGTACAGAAAATTCTAAGTTTAGAGAAAGCGGATGAGTCTAGGGAAAATTGGAGAACTTAAAACTTAAGACGATGAGGGAAGGTGTGATCCAAAAAGGAAAAGAGAAGGAATAAGGTCCAAGAAATGCAAACAGGGAGAAGATATAAGAAGAGAAAAGGAGAGGAAGGAAGCCTCCAGGGTGAGTAAAGTGGACATTGGAAACTGTGGGAGGAAGTTTGAGTGGAAAGAGTTGGACTTTCACCTCTGCCTTTCCAAACCCCACCCCACACATTCTTCATAGCACCCCATCCTTTCCCACCACCATTCCAACCCCACTCCCATCCTCATACAAGCGTCCTCATCAGCTGCATGCAGGCAGCTATTCCCCTCACCCTGGCAGTGGGGCTTGGGGGTGCTCCACTGGCCCTGACTACAGATGGTCCGGGAGCTGCCCACCAGATGGAAGTCGGGGTCGCACCGGAAATCCACCCGGGCTCCGTCCAGAGCTGGGAGGTCTCCACCCATCAAGAAAACCTTCCCATTTTCCAGGGTCAAATAAGACTTGGTGCAGATTCGGACTGTAGAGAGACAAGAAAATAAGAATAGGTAAGTTGGAGAAGGCTCCTTCGCCTTGGAGAGCAGAGGGCTCAGTTTTGGCTTTGAGTCCCCAAGTATCATGTTCTACAGAAAATCAGGTGTAAAAAGAATGTGCCTCCCTGCCTTCCACTCCTCCCTTATTCCAAGCATCTACACATTCCCAAAGGGGGAGGGGAGGTGGAAAGCAGCACTTCCATTGGAGGAACCCAAGATGGAGCTATAAGCATACAAAATGGGATCTCTTCCCAGTCCACTACAGTGGGCGGTTCTCTGCCTCTGAAATGTGTAAATGTATATATCTCGGATAACAATCAGATTTTTTCTTATTGCGACTGGTTTATATTAATATTAAATTGGCTTTTGTTTCTCAGGCACACGGTCATGGAACTGGAGTCAGAGGTGTTGGAAAATGTAATGGAATTATTTCAGAATTTTTTGGCATAATCTGCCCGTAATGAGAATAACTCATAAAATGAATAATTGAAGTTATTTCATCCAATACTCAGCGGCCTAATGAAGGGAGGATGGAGAGAAATGTGCAGGCTGTTAGCTTTGCTACCTCCAACTACACACAGCAACACCGCTCTTACTACATAGCAGTCGCTCATTAAATGTATTTGTGAATTACACTGGATTTAAAGTGCTGACTTGCAAGCAGTAACGCTAAGTTTGAGACAGGGAAAGGAATGGTCTTGAAGGAGGGAGGGGCTTCCCGAGGCTACTCACCACAGCGGCTGGGTGTGTCCATGTCTGTCCAGGAGCCGTTGGCCAGGCACTTGCGCACCTTGGGCCCCACCACCTCTCGCTCCCCCCGGCACACATACTCAATCTCATAATCCACCGGCAGGAAGTTGATAGCCTTCACCTGGTCGCGAGTCAGGCCTCGGTACCTGATGCCCCCTTCCCAGGGCGGGTGTATGATCTGGCAACCTGAGGAGTGAGTAGGGGGAGGCACACAGAGAGGAATGGTGGGAAACAGGAAAAGGCAGGCGCCGCAGCACAAGGCAGGGGAGAGCAGGGCGTGGTCAGTGGTCTGGCGGGGGGCAGGGAGGTAGGGATAGGGACTAAAGGATGGAAGTGGAGACAGGTACAGAGTCGTGGGCGAAAGAACTGAGAGTAATGGGCTGGAGTTAAAGGTGATGAGAGTCCACTGGTAGGCAGGGAAGGGTGCTGTTGGGGTTAATGGAGAAAAGTAATTAAGAAATCGTGAAGGGTACAATATGTGGATGGAGCTTGGTTAAAAAGGGGAGCTAAGGGAGACTAAACAAGGATATTTAGGTTGAATTAGGACAAGAGAGAGGGACTTGGCAAGACCATCTGAGCCACAAAGTGGGACCAGTAAAGGGAAAGAATTGTAGTAATGTGGGACCAGGAATGGGAAGTGTTGCTGAGAGAATAACTCAGGGTCACAGAAAGGTGGTGTGGTGTAGTAATGTGTGCAGTGAAAGGGGGTGCTGGGTAGTGATGCAGGGTGACAGAAAGGAGGTCAGGAGTAGTAAAGTGGCACGGAACAAAGAGGTTGCCAATACGGATGCTATGTAGGGCTGACCGGATAGTGACGAGGGCCACAAAGAAGGAGGTGCAGGGAAAGGGCGAGTGAGGTGGAAGAGGGCCCGAGTCGCCGGAGAAGGGAGCACCTTCTGAGGTGGCGTTGGGGGTCTGCGCCCCGCCCGCGCCCAGGGGGCGGAGGAAGAGAGGCGCCAGCAGCAGCAGCAGCAGCATCTGAGTGAGAGGCGGCCGTGAGGACCGGACCGAGCCTGGCCGCCGGCGCGGCCCGACCCGGACCCACTCGGTTTTGTCTCGCAGGCTCCGACCCGGCTCTGCCAGGGGACGAGTAGGGCGCCCCGCGGAGGAGGCGGGGGCGGAGCCCCGCGCGGGGTGGGGGGAGAGGAGGAGAGAAAGCCTGTCCCCACCCTCCTCCTGCCTCCCTCTGCCCCCCACCCTCACGGGACTCCACCTCTCACCAGCTCCTCTCCCCCGGCCCCAGCGGCTCGCCGGAGCCCGGCTTACCCACGCTCCGGGGTTCGGCCGCCTCATCGCTCCCCGTTTCCATCCCCGCGGTTCCTCCTCTCCCCCAGCCCCCGATGCCCGGCTCGGCCCAGCGCCCGCCTGCCCACCCCCGCGCGCCCCTCTCCAAGCCCTGCTTCCCCGGGGCCCTGGCTCTTACCTCGGCGCGCCGGCCCAGCTCCCCGGCTCTCCCCGGGCCTCAAGGCCCCAGGCCCGGCCGCTCCTCCCCGCTCCCCCCTCCTTTCTCCTCCACCTTTCCCCTCCTTCCGTCCCTCCTCCCCTCGAATCCGGGCTCCAGCCCAGCCAGGGTCTCTCCCCTCCTCTCTCGCTTCCCCCAAACCCCACCCCCGTCTCTCCTTCCCCGGGGCGGCGGCGGCCGCGGGAGCGCGGAGCCGGGAGGGAAGGAGGCGGCGCCGGGGACCGGGGAAAGCTCACGGGCGGAGGGAAGAAGGAGGATGCAGGGGAAGACAGGGCGGGGGGAAGAGAGGGGGAGACCGGGGAGAGGGCGCCTCCCACAACCCGAGCCCCGGGAGCCGCCCCGGATCCCGGCCCCGCCCTGGACCGCCCACAGCGCCGGCGGGGAGGGGGGGGGGCGTGGGGGAGCGGAGAGGAGCGGGGCTGAGAGGTAGGAAAGAGGGGACACTGGGACTCACGCACACCGCCGAGGGACCCTGCGCGGGAGGGACAACTGGAAACTGAGGTGGGGGTGAGAAGACCTGAGCCAAAGGCAGAGGAGCTAGCGCTGAGACGGCGAGCCTGGGATGAAGGTGGAGAAAGACGGTGGCATTAAGGGGAGGCAGCCCTGGATCCGGGCTAGAGGAGAAAGACCGAGGCCAGGAGGAGACCTGAGTCCATGGGAGAAAGGAGAAGCCAGGGTCAGAAAGGTTGCTGCAGGTGGAGGGGAGGTACCGGGAGCGCGAGAACAGTGGGGTGGAGAGAGACCTGGGAGATCAAAGCGACTCCAGGGTTCAACAGCGTGGCTACTCGCCTGCACCGTGAAGGGGAGAGCAGAGCCGACTGAAAGCAAAAGACCAGGGACGAGGGGTTATCGAGAAGAGAGACTGAGGTAGACGAGGGGGGAAAAGGGGGGCGGGGAGGACGGGAAAAAAGAACCTCCAGGTGGGCAGGAGCCAGCATTATCTTCTATGCTCCAACAAGGCCTAGCAATCAATCGTTCTTGACTAAGGGCGACCTGGAACCTCTGAAGTTGGGAAGTGCAGGCCTGTTGACAGCTTCCACAGCTCCCAGCTGTCTTCTGACAGCGGAGGTTGTAGTTGCCTTTGTTGCTGAGGATGATGATGGGCCTGAGTTGAGGGGAGGGGAAGGCTGGAGGTAGGGGGTTGAGCCTCCCTCTGAGGGGAAAAAAAACGCTCCTTTCTGGCTGGTCCTCCAGAAAAGGTAGGAAGAAGCCAAATACTTTTGAGAACTGACCACTTCAATCCTTTTTGATAATATTTTGTGATAACTGTTTGCCATAATCAATTATTGAAATTCATAGATGACAGCACCTCCCTTCAAACATAACTTTAAAAAACCAAAATGCTTACCCATCTGTAATATAAAGAGGAAACGAAAAGTAATAACTTGCAATAAAATAGCAAAGAGTATTTTAATGTGTGAGTGCCAAGGCCCAGCTTCACAGGAAGCAGGCAGATGCTTTCACTTATCCATAGTATCAGAGATGGAACTTTGAACAACACAAGCTCATACAGGTGCAAGGCTGGTGACTCAACTACCTCCAGAGTGTTGCCATCAATGAAGTGACTTAATGAAATGTTGAGCAACTCTTGATAGCAAAGTCAATCTTCCCTAAATTTACACAGAACAGTAATTGCATTCCTAGAAAGTTCATTGTATATTTAAACCATTTTTTAAAAGAAGCTATTAAATTCTAGGCTCAGATAATTAAACACAAGTTTTCACCTACATGAATGTCCTAAGGGACTTTTGAGAATCTGAATGGGGGACAACTCTTCATTTTGTGGACTGTGCCTTAAAGAATAATTTATACTCCTGCCCTGCTCATAAATGCTGACAGTGACCCCCACCATCCACCACTGTAATTACAAAAAGAAAATCCAAACGCATCAAAATGTTCCCTAGAGAGAGAGATTGAGAACCACTGAGTTAGAAAAGGAGAACAAGGTAGGATGGATTTCTAACCACTCAAAATGATAGTCACCACCCTCCTCTGAGTGGCTTGTCCTCTCAACAGGACAGAATCAAAGTAATTCAACTGATAATATGGGTATCAGTTGAAACTTATTAACACCCAGAAGAACATCATGAATATGAGAAGTTTCCCAGACTGTTTGTTTAAGGAAGAAGTTTCCTGACTCTGTGCCCAGTCTGCAGACTGGTCCATCTGTCTGTCTGGCCATATACCCTCTCATGATACCCCTGTGTGATCCAGGCAAGGATGGGCTAAGAGGACCCCTTCCCAGACCTAGCAACACCTTTCTGCTGGGGAGTATCTGAGCAAGTGCACTCAAGGAGTCACAAACCAGCTCTCAAGATCCTTATCTAAGGGCTGGGGTGGGACCCAGGGGTAGGGCACTTGTATAGCACAAGTGAGGCCCTGGGCTTGATCCACAACACCCCTCCAAAGAAGTACTCATCTAGTTTTTTCATTCTGGTGAAATTAGGGGTATGGAAAAAAATAATTCCCTATGAAATCAAAAATTAGGTCAGTTTGGAGCTAGAAGTATGGCTGAAGTAGCACTGCCTAACAAATGTGAGGCCCTGAGTTCAAACCCCAGTACTGCCAAAAAAAAAAAAAGCTAGCTCAGTGATATTCATTGCAACACTGCTGGTGCTAAATCAGAAAAAGAAACAACCTTTACTGTCCAAATCACAAAGTAGTGACTCTTAATTAGAATGGACCATTCAAATGAATAGTTATGAAAATATGTTTAAAAGAGTATCTAATGACATTAACATGGGAAACTATGGGAATTTGGTGGGGCTGGGGTGGGGGGAACAGATGGATGACACGCACACAAGACAGAAGCTGTATGTGGTGGCCCACACCTATAATCTCAGCACCTGTTTTCCACTGAGGAAACAGGATCATAAGTTCAAAGCCAGGGCTGGGGATACAGCTGAGTGGTAGAGCACTTGCCTAACATGGGCAAAGCCCTGTGTTCCATCATCACCACCAGTCTGGCAGGGCACCTGTAGCTCATGCCTGTAATTCTACTCAGATGGCAGAGATCAGGAGGATCTTAGTTCAAAGCCCGCCCAGGCAAATAGTTCTCAAGACCCTATCTCAAAAATGTTCAACACACACACACACACACAAAGGCTGGTGGAGTGGCTCAAGTGGTAGAGCACCTGCCTGGCAAGCATGAGGCCCTGAGTTCACACATTTACACCCCAACACCACAAAAAACTTAAAAAAAAAAAAAAAAGAAAAAGAAAACCAGCACCAGCCTGGACTACATAATGAGTCTTGTTTCAAAAATAAACCCTGCTTTTGAAACCCTGTTTCAAAAATAAAGTTGCAGATATTTAGTTTTGAGATACTCCTCTCCCCTCTCTATCAAAAGCCACAGTACAGTTCTCTTTTTTGTCACAGTGGTCATCATGTAAAGGAAAGAAGACATCCACATCCTCAGGTTCTGTGTGGCAAACCAGTCTTCAAAGATGGCTCTCTACCCTAAACAGCTCTTGCTATATTAGAAAAGTGTATTGGGCAAAATTCTAAAATTCAAACACTGAAGTTATTTACACTCTGGGATTGACTCTGGCTTTTTAATAAGGGCTTGAACTCTTTCCAACATACTTTAATATAATTTGAACTTTCCGATTTGACCCTTCGTTTGTGTGTTCTCTTTCTTCTTTTATTCATAGAAGTAGGCACTCAGAATCTCTAGAAGAAAGTAAGAGGGCGAGGAAATCTTTCTTTAACAAATCCTCTCAATTGCTTCACACACACAATTCTAGTTTGATTGTCCTCATAGTCTATTCAGGCTGCTATAACAAAATACGTAAGACTGGGTGCCTTGTAAACTACAGAAATTTATTGCTGGCATTTCTGGAAGTTTTAAATCTACAATCAAGGCACCAGCAGATGCAGTGTCTGATGAGGGCCGGCTTCCTCATAGATGGAGCCTTCTAGCTGCACCTCACATGAAGGAAGGGGCAAACACGCTCCCAGGGCTTCATTTGTAAGGACATCAAGTCACCTCCCCAGATGCCCCATCTCTTAATAGTATCACACTGGGAATTAGATCTCAATATATGAATCTGGGGAGAACACAAACATTCATACTATAGTAGTTGTACATTCTTGTCACTTCCGGCCTTTGTTCCTTGTGTGTGCAAGTGTAGGGAACAGGAAGATTACAAAGTTACTTCTATTAATGCCTTCACAGGCATACACAAATGATTCTAGTCTGGAATTCACAAAATTTCAGTGAAATAAGGAAAACCACATTGTGAAAAACTGTTTAATGCTGACCTCCCTCACCTATAAGACACCCTGAGGTGGTAGGGAGCTGACCAGCCTCGGGTGCTCAGCACAGTGTGAATTGCCTCTATAAATAATTTCTCCATAAGTAAGCCCTTATATAATAAGTAAATGAGCACAGTGTAATTAAATACTAGAGTTACCTAAGCAATAAAAAGGAAAATAGTAATCTTGTTTATCTCTTCCTCTGTAGTGTAGATGAGGTAATGTTAACAGACTTAGGAAAGGTTCAATGTTCACAAATACAAGTTTAGTGAGCATTTCCTGGAACTATGAAAAAATTAGGTTTTTAAACACTTCAAAATAAACAAATATTATATGTACTTAAAGATATATAATTAATTATATACTATAAAATATCGGTACATAATTTTTCATACCAATCTGAAAAATAAATTCATCATAGTTGTGTGTGCAATAAGCTAGTAGGGTTTTTGTTTGTTCATTTTGCTGCAACAGATTTGTCTTTTCCATTGTGTCCAATTCAGGTACCTATAATGATTGCTAATTTAATCAAGGTGTACCAGGCAAATAATACTTACAGTAAAAAAATGCATCACCCAGATTTTTCTATTAGAAGCTTATAG